ACCTTGCGCAGGACGTGCGGGCGGTCGGGCGCAGTCTCGATCATGTGCCACAGACGCTGCAAGATGCGCTTGCAGTCCACGACGTTGAAGGTACGCGAGGCAAAGTCGTGGAGCGCGGCCGTCGGTGGGCCGACGAGCGCCGCATCGTCGAGGTGCATGTCGAGCAGCTTCTCGACCGGCGACCGGTCATCCTCGGCGAGACTCCGGAAGCTCTTCTTGGCCTGCAGAACGAGCTCGTCCAGCGCCGATCGAACGCGGTCCATGGTCGTTGCTATTATCTGCTCGACGCCAACGACAACCAAATGAAACGAAGTTCGAAGATGCTGTAACCGCTGGCTAAACGCACGCCACTGTACCGTTGTATCCAGATGCGTGCACCACCGACTGCCACGTCATTTGGTGGAAACGCTGTGCGATTACAGCCTGCGGTCGTACTGTTGTGTCTTGGATTTAATTGCTACGTCAATCGCCTTTAAGGTAGGCTGGGGCACGTACAGGCTTGGGCTCCATAGGCTGCTGCATTATATCTCCCCGTCAACATCGTCCCGTACTCAATGTGGGCATATCTATTGCACCACGACATGGTCCCCAAACGTCACCTTGGTCGTCCTGATCTTCTTGGGAAAAAAGTATACCAAGCTTTTCTCGATGCGACGGCTCAGGTTGCTCTGTCGTCGAAGCTGGTGTTTTCCTTGGCCACAGGCGGCCGTGTCCATGAAATATCATGTTTAACAGGTTTATCGAAGCATAGAAGTATTGGTATTGGCAATATAGTATATCTAATTTCCTCGTTTATTAAAGGCTACAGGTATTAAGCCTGCGAAACCTGGTACTCTTCAACTGGAAAGTTAACCGGTTTCGCGGGTCATGGTTGTTCGACGCGATGCCATTGGCTAGAATCTTGCATACAGTGGACCAAGGTAGAAGATACGTATGAACATCGACATCTTGATCATTTCCCAATTGGCATGGCACGGCAAGCTGCCCTCCTCTCCACCTTCCTGCTGCTCGCACTGCTCGTGCCCGGCATCAGCGCCGCCGCCAACATCACGAGCGGCAACTCGACGTTCGACCAGAACGCCAACGCGCTCTTCTCGTCGGCCTCGAGCATCGAGTGGGCGCCAGGCCTCGTGGCTACGATTTCGCTCATCGGAGGCGTCGTCGTCACGTTCTTTGGCTACAAGCTGTTTCGCCCCGTCATGTTCATCTGCGGCTTCGCGGTTGGGTCGGTTCTCGGCTACCTGCTTGCGGAACAGATTTTTAGCGGCCAGTCGTACGTGGTGACCGCGTCCTGGATTGCCTTCCTCGTCCTCGGGCTCCTCGTCGGCTCGATCGTCATGAACCTTTGGGTCTGCGGCGTCTTTCTTGTAGGTGCGGCCGCCGGTGTCCTCCTCGCGTTCGAGCTCAACACGTCCGTCGGGTACAAAATCTACCCGTCGAATCCGACGACGAGTCTCTGGATCCTCATCATCGTACTCGGGCTCCTCGCCGGCGGCTTGGCCATTTGGTTGGAGCGGCCGATGCTCATTGTCTCGACGAGCATGTTTGGTGCGATTGCGGCGACGTGGGGTGTCGGATACTTTGCGGGTCAATACCCGAGCGGTGCCGAGCTCGATGCGTGGCGCAAGCAAGCGGCCGACGGAACGTTCGAGTACAACTTGCCCAAGGCGTGGTGGGCCTACTTGGCGGCGACAGCTCTTCTCTTTGGGCTGGGCGTGTACGTGCAGTTCCACAAGACCGCGGCTGGCATCGTGCACTCGAACCCGCGCCGCAAGGACGCCGTCGCGACCTCCGGCCCGCCCCGTGGCCAGCCGATTTCTCATGTCTAAGTCATTGTGCTTGAAGAGTTGGATCTCTAATGCATGTATCCCGAATTTGTACTTATATCGTGGGTCTCCTATAGCACTATGGACTGTACCGTGTGGTCTAGCATGGTGCACCGAGAAGTCGGAGTCGCCAAGGACAAGCCAAAACCCGTGCTGCCCGTGCTCGGAAGCAGCTACTCGACTATAAATTTCAAAAGGATTTTTTGCGTTAGCTCGCATAGAACGGGGCTTGTATTTGAGTTGGCTACGGTGGCGACAGTTGACGCGATGCACAGCGATGCGTGGGTGGTGGCGGGCGACGTCGTAGCTGTCGCCAACGCACGTCGCTTCACTTGTCACCTGGCTCTTGGGTGTGGTGGTTGTTTTATTTTCTTGGTGCCAACCGAGCTGGTGACCCCGCTCCCGTTGGCCATCATTGTGTTGGCTTGAAGCGTCGTCGCTACCGTCGGCGTGAAGGCGGCGAATGATCTCGTCCTTGGTCTTGGTCGTCGCTTCACAAAGGCGCGTGGTGGAACTGCAGGCAGCCACGTCGGCCGCGACAAGCTCATGACGCTCGGCGCCATGCGGTTAGTCAGCGATCTGTAGTGTCATCGCTGTCTGGAGACGGTGGTTGCGCCTGGCGAGCGTGTGGAGATCGCGGCGAAGACCCTCCGATGGTGTGGGTGCCTCCGAGCCCCAGACCCACAACGTATCCACTCGCAGACGGTACAGTTGGACGCGCCCTTTCGAAGTGCGTTTGTATCTTTCCGCCGATGGACCTCGTGGCCTGCGTGCTGGTTCTCAGCGTCGTCGCCGCCTCGGGCGCCGTCAACCTTACGATTGATGGCAGCAGCTCCTTCGACAAGGCGACCAACCACCTTGTGAACGCGACGGTGCACGGCCACGTGCCGCCGAGCATCCTCGCGGGCGCCGGCATTGGCCTCGGCTTGATCGTGGCGCTGGCCGGCTACCGGCTCTTCCGGCCCGTGCTCTTCCTCAGCGGCTTTGGCGTCGGCGCGGTCCTTGCGTACCTTCTGGCCGAAGCCATCTTTACGACGCAGTCGTTCGCGACGACCGCGCACTGGGTCTGCTTTCTTGCGGGCGGCATCGTCGTCGGCGCGACGGTCCTCTGCCTCTGGCGCACGGGGCTCGTTGTCATCGGCGCCGCCGCCGGCGTCCTCCTCGCCTTTGTCCTC